GCTGATCACAGGCGAGAAGATCTTTTTCGACGAGGCGGGCCAGCGTCTTCCCAAGGCAAGACTTTAGAGAGATATGATAGACACGATAGATTCCTGTTATGACTAGTATTTCCTTCATCATCATGTTAATGAAAAGCGCGATCGCTGTTTAATTGACGCCCTCTCACCACATCAAATTAAGCTAAGCTGTAATCCTTTGTATACATCCCACCAGACTACCAACGACTACTCAGAACCAAACCCCCACGTCACTCCAGACGCACCTCCAGTACTTTCTAACTACTATAACACCAGTGCGAAAATCTCCAAAACAAGATAAAACCAGCATTCATCTGCTCCCAAATGACACGACTTCTTTCACTACTGCATCTCGATCCATGATGCTTGAATACTTCCACCCCCTTAAACATAAATGCAAGTTATGCATGCAACAGCTCAATAACTTAGCAGCATGTACTAAGTGCTGTGCTAAATGCTGCAAGCCCCACACCCCACCACAACCTACCTTTACCTACCCCGCCACTTCCCCCAAAAAAGCAAGCTCCGCCGTTCCAGAGCTTTCAAAGTTGGTTTTTACCGAGATGGGCAATATCCCCCGGAGAGAAACCGTCTCCGGGACCTTGTTTCCGAAGTAGGGGCAGGAACCAATTGATTGGTCGGGGTGGTGCGTGTGGTTATGCAGGTTGTAGATCATGCTGGCTGAATTTATTCTTAGCCGTGGGGGATTAGTGCTGTACTATGGGTGTAGTTAGGTTATTCAAGGTAAGTAGTGAGGGGTTGATGCTTACTTGCTTGCTGGTTCTGCTTAGATCATGGTGATCGGCGTCTGGGTTCATCTTTGATCTGATTTACGTTACGGTGTTCACGTGTTCATCCCCTGCGGGGCTTGGGGGTTGTGTGGTTTTTAGATATCTACGAAGTACGGAAGGAGGATACAGTTAAGATTGAGAGACTTATTGGAAAATGGAAAGGAGCAGGGAATCAATCCCATTCTTTGATTCAAAAGTGACTGCAGTAGGTCGTAGATCATCGCTTGCGTGCATGCTAGGGTGGTAATAGGGGAATAAGAAGCAAAGATGTTGTAAGAAGAAGAAGAAGCAATAAATGTAATCATCCAGCCAAAAATCATACATCATATCAATTCTCTACCACTTGATCACCTTGTTGGGGAAGTACTCGTCGATCAGATCGAGGTAGTATGGCTATTCAATATTTGTTAGTTTGATGTTACCAGTATTGGAAAGAAGGGAACAGGCTTACCTTGAGTTCCTCGGGGCTGGGAACATCGTCGCTCTTGCTGTACAGATCGTATGGGTTGAACGCCTTGACAGCCTTGAACATCTCCTTGTCGTGGTCGTTCATCAACTCGTGGTACGCACCGGCGTTGTGCCAGGGGTAGAACGAGTGGTAGCGGATCATGGCGAGGGCCTCGTCCGGAAGGGTGGACTGGTCCTTGACGACGTGGTAGAGGTATTCGTCGTGGCCCCAGGAGAGCATGACGTTGTCCAGACCGCAGCCAGGGCTGTAGATTCCGAACTTGGTGTCGTAGATGGGGTGGTTGAAGTCCTCGTTGTCCTTGAAGGACTCGCGGCCGTAGATGATGCGCTCATCGAAGCCACAGCCGACGGGGAATGTGTCTCCGACGACATCCCACTGACCCTGGGCGTCGAAGAAGTAGAGCAGCTTGCCCAGGTCGTGGATGAGACCGGTCAGCTGCATCCAGCGGGGCTTGCCGTCGCGGCGGATGGCCTCGGCGGATTGCAGGAGGTGCTCGATCTGGGAGAGGCTGGTGTCCGGGTCGGACTCGTCGATGAGGGTGTTGAGCTTCTCCATGGCCTCCCAGATGGTCATCTCAGCGCGGGTCTTGGAGTGGAACTCATTGCGGGCCTTGAGGTTGTAGGCCACGGTTTGCTTGGTGTGCTGTTCCTTGTAGAAGTTCTTGACCCGGTCGCAGGCGTCTTCGTACTGACGGAACTTGGTCTTGTCCTTGTTCTTGTCGAACTCGGACTCTTCGTACAGACCCTTCTCCTGCTTCTTCATGTTGTCCTTGAGGACATTGACATTGTCGATGGCGTCCGACAGCTCCTCAAGAGCCTGTCCGTCACGCTTGGTGTTGAACACCGGGGATTCAGGAGCTACGGCGACAGGTGCCATTGTGATTGTAACTTTTAAGGATATATGAAAGAAGAAAGTGTGTTGAGCTTTGGGGTATCAAAGAAATGCTCTGGGGTTTGTTGCTGGAAGAAAACAGGCTTGAGGAGCAGGAGCATAAATATCAATGTTTCACACACTAGAAGACCGAAAATGTATGGTAATTCCGAAAGACCGACGCCTGCCAGTCCTTGTGTGGATGACGTTGTATGATTCTAGAAATCCGAAGAGAATTGATCGTCGAGACCATGGCGCTGGAGTCCTGGGGAGTGGGAGCATGACTGGAGCCCGGAAAGTGGCTTCCGCAGGCAGAGAATGTCGGTGATATGCCTATAGGGATCGCCCCCGCCAGCGTGGAACGTGCGGCGATCTGTCCTACAGATCTGGATCCAACGGATACGCTCAGCGTTGCGGAGCAGTGAAATCATCCCATTCCAGCCCCAGTCTTGGCTGCTGCTGTGGGCGCATTTAAGGATACTGGTTTCCGACGCGGACGAACCTCGGGTTCACGCACGGCCCGTTGTCCTCCAAAGAGATTCCCTTCATTGCTAAACTTGTATCTTCTGCAATATCTTTGGCTGTGTGCCGTGGCGATCATGACAATGATCGCTTAACTTTGATCTTCCTGTCCTGATTCTCGTCGCGATCTCAACATTCCTGGGCGCACACACGATCGCTGCAAGGTCGGATTTCAGTCTGCCAGTCGCGCGTACTGAGCCAGTGTCCCTGAGAAGTGGAGCTGATTGCAACGGGGTTGACGGCTATCGAACAATAAGCTTCCCGCAATTGGGGTTGCCGCCTTCTTGCTGTTGTATTGCCCTTTGCTATTCTGTGGGTGAATAATTGGGCCCAACAAGCGACATGTGCTTGAAGCAGTCATCGTACGTTGACTGAAGAAGGAGTGACTATGTGGCCGTTGATGGGAGGGACTTAGAGAGGATGAAGATGGACAGGCGAAGCTGGAGAGGGTCTCGGACTCATTTGGCCCGAATGGCGGGGATGCGGAGGGGCAGCGTGGGGGTCGCCCTTTTCTTCCCCTCCTCTCCCCCACCCTCTCCAACAGCTTTATCCTCGTCTTTTTGTCGTCTATCTGTCTTCTTCTCCTCTTCCTCACCCTCACGCAGTCTCTACACACCTTCTTCCCTCCAATTCTCTTCACATATCGCCAAAATGGGTTCGACTTCGACCGTCGCAGACACTCGCTTCAAGCTGAACACCGGGGCTGAGATCCCTGCTCTCGGACTCGGTATGGCTTATCTCCAGATAACCACAAGGTCTTTCTGGCTAATATCTGTGCAGGAACCTGGCAGTCAGGTCCTGGAGAGGTCGAAAAGGCCGTGGCCCATGCCATCTCCGTTGGATACAGACACATTGATACCGCTTTCGCCTACGGCAACGAAGGAGAAGTTGGCAAGGGTATCAAGGCGGCCATCGAGTCTGGAGTTGTCAAGCGAGAGGAACTCTTCGTGACCACCAAGCTCTGGAGCACATGGCACTACCGTGTGGAACAGGCTCTGGACCAGAGCTTGAAGAATTTGGGGCTGGACTATGTTGACCTCTACCTGGTCCACTGGCCTGTGGCCATGAACCCTAACGGTGAGTCCTGCGTTATTCAGATTCAGTGTGATGCGCATATTGACATCGCGAAGGAAACCACCCCAACATCCCCACCCTTCCCGACGGTTCCCGCGACCTCCACCTCAACCACTCCCATATCAACACCTGGAAGGATATGGAGAAGCTTGTCGGCAGCGGAAAGACCAAGGCCATCGGTGTCTGCAACTACAGCAGACCCTACCTTGAGGAGCTCCTCGCCCAAGCCACCGTGGTTCCGGCCGTCAACCAGATTGAGAACCACCCCTGCTTGCCCCAGCAGGAGGCTGTTGACTTCTGCAAGGAGAAGGGCATTCACATCACCGCATACAGCCCTCTCGGCAGCACGGGTAGCCCACTGTTGACGGCAGAGCCCATCGTCGAGGTTGCCAAGAAGAAGGGTGTTGACCCGGCCACGGTCTTGCTGAGCTGGCACAGTACGTATCTCCCATGTCAAATGCTGCGAGAATCATCTCTAACTAGCTCATCCGTATAGTCAGCCGTGGCTCTTCCGTCCTTGCCAAGTCCGTGAACCCCTCTCGGATTGAGGGTAACCGCAACCTGGTGGCATTGGATGATGCTGATATGGCCACCATTGCCAAGTACACGAATGACTTGGCCTCGAAGAACGCCTTCCAGCGTTTTGTCTTCCCTCCTTTCAAGCTCGACTTTGGATTCCCGGACAAGATCGGCCGTGTATAAGCTCCTGGTGAGTGGTCCACGGTCTAGGATGTTAGCAATCAAGCCTGTATAGAAGTATAGATGGTCTCGGGAAATGTATAGCTCATAGAGCAGAGATGTCTGTGCATTTCTTCCTACTTTACTGTGCATAATGAAAATGAAACTGTTATGATATCCATCTGGCATGTCCGCCAACTCCCATGCAGAAAAGAATAAGAACGAAAAACAAACTCCAGGGCTATTCAATGTGAGCACGTGCACATCCTCCAGTGAATCTCGCAATAGTAACGCCTTCCAGCAAGCGACAAGACCGCACAAAACACAAAGAAATGCCTAGATGTGAAAATAAGAACCCAATACTGCTTCGCTTCACCGCTCCAGCTCTGTTTACTTTACCTCCCTCGCGTGCTCCTTCATCTTCCTCCCTTCCTGTGTTATCCACCTCAACCTTCCTACCTTTCCATCTCAAGCACCTTTCGTTTGTCTTCATCACCTGCACACAGGAGCCACACATAGCATCAAGTAGGCGTGCCACCCCTCTCTTCCACGTCAACAGGGAGAGCAGGAGTGGTTCGCTACTGTTTGGCGTCTGGCGACCGACAACCAATCCACTCCCTCTCCAGGCTGACTTCTGTTGTCACCGTCACGGGTCCTTGGCCTTGCTTGCAGACACTCTTGAAGACGAGATATTCCCCGTAACCCAACTCCTTCGTCTCACTGGGGAGGTTCTTCTCATTAATCTCGCCTTTCTTGCCAAGCTCTCGCAGTGCCTGCAGCCGTCGTGATTCCCTCTCACTCATTATCGCTTGTGCGAGGTTGTTTGACAGTACGCGACGTGAACTCAAAGTTCTGAACACCTCTTGCAGATGCACGAACGGGAGGCTGATCAGCACAGCGGAGGCGACCAAGGTCTCGCGGTTTGGCTTGCTCTCAGTCGTTGTTGAGTTCGCGGAGGCAGATCCCGGCTCAGAGCCTATGACACCAGGTCCAGTGTTCAAGCTCTCTGGGATACGGTTTGGAACATGCAGGCTTTGGGCTTGGGAGTACAAGACGAACTTGTCATCGATGCTCTCGGCGATGAACGACAACGCGGCTCTGACCAGCAATGGGGCCCAGATGTCTCGGAGCTGTCGGTTTCTGACCAGGACATGTCCGGACCGAGTATGATTGGCGCGAGGACTGCCCGGAGGAGTTTCGGTGCCCTCCAGAATAATTGAGAATCTATCCACACGGAGACCAAAGTGGATGATTGTTTCGACAGTGCTCCAGTCGATCAGCTCCAGTGCCATTCTGATGCCTGCCTCGAGGACGCCACTGACGTGAAGGAAGGCTCCAGATGCAGCGTACGAAAAGGCCAAATCGAGCATGGCTGTTCTGATCGGGAATGGGTACATGCTTTGAGACTCTTCGGTGTACCCTAGTACTGCAAGGGCCTCGGTTCTCAGCTGCTCGCCGTGGAGAAGTGGTGCCCCATACAGGTTGCGAATCGCTTGCTCGAATCCCTGTATCAAGTTGACTTGGTCACCCAGTGTCACAGCAATTTCGCGGTGTCCTTCCCGATAAAGTTGAGTCCGCAGGAGCGCGGCAACGAACGGGCTGCGAGCGATAACGGCCACCTGCACGGGGATGATGGTGGATTGGTACAAGCCATTGCTCGACGACGTCAGTTTGAAGTGAAAATCACAAAGCTCACGACTTTCGAACAACTGAATGAGATGTGTCGAAAGTGAATCCACACCCTTGCCCTTTTCATCTACCACGCCTGACACTCTGTTAGCTTTGAAATCCGAACAGAGTGTCATTTACACAATCAACTCACTTTTCTTTCCAATCGAAGTGTTGCGTTCAGCAACCGTACTACCGCCTTCCACACCTTGACCGACATCGCTGGGTGTCTCAGTGTCGCTCTTGGCCGACACAGTGTTGAGATATGTCAAGCAGGTGCAGCAGTCGCCTTTGTGGTGCGAACAACAGCAAGACGATCTCGGGGGACAGTTGCATCCTTGAATGGGCTTATGAACACAGCAGCTTGGATCAAAGCGGCAAGGAGCCCGCATGTGAGCCCGACAGTACTGTTGAGTTTCTCTGTCGTTAGCATCACGATAATGGTCCTGGCTATTTAGGTTCATCGGATCGAGAGCCCGAAGTACGTACAGCTTCTTCAGAAGAATAGTTCACGACTGAGGTGGAAGGTTGCGAATTGTTGCCAGTGACACGCATCTCACTCACTGGACTGTGCTGCGAACGGTTGACTTGCGAAAGATTGTCGACACTACCAGTGTCAGGTCGTTGCTGGCTAATGGACGAAGTATCCGACTTAGCAGGCACAGATCTCTGGGACGAGCTAGCCTGAGCATTAGAGTTGCGTTCCTCTTGGATTTGGCGTTCGAGTCTTTCTTTTCTTTTCATCGCTTCCAAGATCTTCGCCTTGAGAACAGCTGCTTCGGCGACCGGTGCCATTCTGGCCACCGGCGAGTTGGTCACCACCGAAGAGGCAGGCTCGCCAATGCTTGTGTCCTCTCCCGCGCTGGAATAGGGTGGAGGCAAATTATCACCATTCTTGACTTCTTCACCACCAGCAGCAGTAGAAATGGCGCTATCAGTAGCAGCAACAACATCATCAACACGATGGTCATCGCCGTTCTCAGTCTGCTTCTGTTGCTGTCCCTCCTTGGCCACGTCACAGCCACTATCAACGACAGCAACAACAACATTGTCCTCGACCGCGACTTCAACCTCAACAGCTTTGCCTTTTCCCTTGTTTTTGTTTTTCTTATTGTTACTCTTCTTCTTCGACTTACTTTTCTTGTTGGCCTTGCGCTGTTCGGTCGGTCCGTCCACTTGCGGCACGGAAGGGAGGACAGGGTCCGCAGACTTAGTCCGACGAATTTCCGGGCCCATCTCGCCGCGCTTTCGTGAGATCCAGAAGTACGTGTCGAGGTCTTCAATGACGCAGGGTAATTCGGACGTGCAGAAAGACTCGCTTCGACGTGGCATAACGACGTACACCACTAAACGCGGCATGAGCAAGAGAAAAGGGATTAAGAAAGAGAAAGAAAGAAACAACACAACGACGAATGAATATTCATACTCACCTAACTCGCGTTTCCTCCTCGCCTATCGAAATAGTTTTGCAATCCAGAATCAACACAGCAAAGATTGATGGGAACTATTGTCGAACCGATTATCGATCAGCTTCTTAATGATGATGATGATGATCTTCTCAACACCAACCACTCACCTAATCCTAAGAAACCTTGACGATGATGATTCAGAGTCTGACTTAAAGTACTATTTCTCGGAGAGATAGATGTAGTCAGAGCTTTAACACACGAAAAAGAAAAGGAAAAGAAAACTGATATGTTGTTTACATTCTTACTAATTCACTATGAAAAACCACACACCCAGAGAGATAGTTTACTAAATTGATCAAACAAAACGGTTTCTCTGTTGCTTTGCTTTTCGTGCTTTAGAATCTCCAACCGTATGGGTAATTCAGTTCCCTAGACGATCATGCAACAGCAGTATGACTTCTTCCCGTGGAGTGAGTGCGGATCTGCACGGAGACTTTGGTCTTGATACTGTTGTAGAACCTATCATACTTGGTTTTTTCCTTCGAAAGAAATTCAGTTCGATAGCTAGATACCTAGTAAATCACCTAACTACATCTGCACATCAAAAACCCCTCCTTTGGAATCAAAATCCATGAAAGGAAGAAAAGGAATGCATGCATCTCATATCTACACGTGAATCCCATAACGGAGATGGTGGTGAGGTTTGCGCAGACATCGTGCAGAACAGGGCTTTCTGAAACACGTGACCCACTCCGTTCTTCGTTTCTGCACAACCTTACTATTTTTGGGCTCGTTTTGGCCTGACGATTTGTTTATTACGGGTGAATGGAGGTGTCTGGCTTCACTGGGCTGACTTGCTGGCTTGCTAGGTTGGTAGAGGTTTTGCTTGGCTGGCGTGTTGGTCGGTGTGTTGGCTGCTCTTTCTGCTACAAGTGGCTGGAGTCGAAGATCTAAAGGGATTTGACGATATAGGCTTGCTTTTCTGGATTGGAGTGAATACTACGAGGGATGGTAGGAAGGGTTGTCAATGAAGTAGTCATTTACTATTATTACTAGGGATAGGAAGGATATTTTTAATAATCTTTGGATTATCTTTCAGTATTGATAGGCTAAACCTAGGTTTGTGGGATATGTTATGATATGATATAGAACACAAGGAAAATCCGCTAGACGAGATATGATAATGAATGGGAAAATGAACACACACAGAATAGGAAACAATGACAGCCGGGTCCTGTCCGCTCAACATAACGCTGTTGGTATATCATGATGTATGCGAGAATTCCAAACGAGAGGTATCGAACATTAAAATGCAGAATGCTAGTTCAGGACATCGAGTAATACATCATGATCGGAGAATGGTAGGTGAATGAAGGAAGGAGATAGAGGATGAAAAGGAAAAGGGAAATAGGGAAGGAAGGGACAAGTGAGTAAGAAAGGATTGAATGAGGTTCGTGATTTGAGGATGAGGATTAGAACATGCCTCCATCCATGGGAATCTTTGGTGGTGGATATGAAGGAACGGCTGGTGGTGCCTCAGACATCAGGTGTTGAAGCTGCTGCCGCGCCTTTGCGTTCAGGTTGCCTCCCTCGCTGGACGTTTTGCGTAGTCGGGCACGGGATCTGGGCCGCTTCTCGCCATCGTCGGAGAAATTGCTGGTTTCTTCCATCATGGCTGCGTCGAGCGATGGCGCATACTGCGACTCGTGTCTTTCACCCTTCAGGGCGCCAAGGATAGTCTGTGTGGTGGTCTGGCGGCGGCGGCGAGGGTTCATAGGGGGGACTGGAGGCGTTTCCCTGCCATTGCTCAAGCTCGCGCCGGGAGGGAGACCAACGGTCGGTACGTTCGAAGTGCAGGAGACAAATCTTGGTTCGGAGATCAGCGCCTTGGTGACTGGTCGCTTGTGGAGAGCGTTATGACCCGGAGCTCGCGGGGGAGGTGCAGTGGTAGAGCTATTGGTGGTCACCGGGGTTAACGAATGGCCTTGAGACATATCCTCCAAAGGTGGTGTGGCATTGGCAGAATAGGGGGCGATAGGCGAAGGCCGTGGGGCAGCAGCACCGATCAGGGAGGTAGTGCTAGCAGCTGGAGCTGGAGGATAAAAGGGGCGTTCGTGGTAGCTCGAGACCGCAGATCGACTGTCGCTACGGTATCTTCCAGAAGCAGCAGAGGCGGACCGATCGTACGTGACGGGTTCGCTAACTTCGGCAGAGGCACGAGTGGAAGCTGGGACAGAAGCCAGACCATGTTGGTCATAATCAGGGAACGCGTACGGCCTATGAACACCGTGAGCGACCTCTTCCAGGGTCTCCAGTCCATCTCTATCTCGCCGCGTGCGACTCTTGGAACGACCAGAGGCATCCGAGGTCGAACGGTCCCGGCGAGAACGGAAGCTGGAGTGCGGAGATGCACCGCGGCTGCGGCTAGACTCGCGAGAATCTTCCTGGCTGCTGCGCCCGAAGACTTTGGAGCGGAAGGATCTTTCTCCAGCGATATGTGGCGAGCTGGAGTTGGAGTGCTTCGCAAAGTTGAACGATGGTCTCTCCTCTTCTTCGCGCCACATGTCGTCCGAGACCAAAGCCGGGGTGGATGCATTAGCAAGGTTGAGGCCCCTTGCACCCTTCAGATGCTGCTTCCCTGACTTATTCTTCAGGAAGGCAAAGGCATTTCCGGGTTTGCTTGGGGTGAAATCCGGGGTCTGACGGCCTGAAACAGGGCTGGCCGACCGGCTTTCTCCCTCTGCAAATCCTCGAAGCTTCTCCTGCACTTTCCTGCGCCTCTCGGCCAACTCATTGGCAAATTCTTCGCGCTCCCTCTGTGTCTCCGTGCTACCTTCGCGTCTGTGTCTAGCAATAAGCTCGTTCTGCCAGTGTGCACTGTTCTGGGCACCCGCATGGTTCTGCAGAACCGGCTCCTCTGGGATATCGGTGTCGGTAGGCTTTGAAGGAAGGCCAGGAGAAGGAGGCGGGTAAATGGACGATCTGTCACTGTTGGATCGCAAGTGAGTACGAACGAGGCCGCTCAGACCCAGGCCAGCCGGTCCCAATGTGGGTGAATCGGGCTTCTCAGGAAGGCCATCATCATCACCGAGTCCACTCTCAATAGTTTCATTTTCCGCTATAGGCTTCAGGTCACCAAGATCCGAGTACCTGACTTCAGGCAAAGGGCTCCGGTGCTCACTAGTGGGAGTGGATGGCTTGGAGGGTGTCTCCGGCCGAAGCGCGGGGTGGATCTCGTCAGTGGCGTAGCGGGAAGCACCGCCGTCATCCTCCGAGTCACTAGGACTGGGGTTGGAGAAAAACGTGCCATTGTCATTTCTTGTAGGAGGGGAGTTGACCGCGGATCGGCTGCCTGGCCGTTGAGCTTCGCTATAGTGAGAAGATGCAGAGCCTGGTCTGGACGCATAGCTCGTGTTGGAAAGCCCTCTGGCACGGCCGGCGCGCTCTTGGGGGATAGCCTGGACAGGCAGGGGAGGTAGTCGCCCTTGAGGCGGCGTGCTTCTTCCCTGATGCATTTGCAACTGGCGTCGTGTAAACTGGCTCTCATCAAACATGCTGTTGGGTTTGTTGAATAGGCCGGCTGCTGTGGCTTTCCCATGATCTTCAGGGTTCAGAGCGGCCATCAGGGGGGCTTTATCCTCATTCTCGCTGGCGGGAGGACTCAACGGAGGGGCACCGTACGCAGAATCTGCTTGAGTTTGCGGTTCCCTGGGATTCAATCGGGCAGACTGTTCTGGCGACCTGGGCAGCGAGGGAGGGCTGGTTGGCCGCGAATTGGTGCCGGCCGGTTCGGCAATAGTAAGTGGCTGCAGCCTGTCGCGTAAGTTTGTGGCGCTTCTAGAAAAGGCACGGTTCAGGGGAGGCAATTCTGGACCCGCTCCGCGCTGGCGGCTCAGGCTTTCTAGTCGTTGCAAGGTGGAAGTCTGCTGGTTCTGAGCTGACTGTGCCAAACCTTGTCCATACAGACGGCGGGCTTTGACCGAGCCACGCTCAGGAGCCATGTTCGGCACTGGCGGCTTAGACTGGGGGGCTTGCGTGTCCGCCGCATTTGTCTGCGACGGGGGTGCGATGAAAGATTGCTCGTCGAAAGATGTTGCCGCTGTCGATGTACGCCCATTCGAAATGGGCCCAGATGCCGTTGAAGAGAAAGTTGTTCGCTTTGTGGAGCCAGCGCTCGATAGTGCGTCCTCTGATTCCTGAGTCGGACTGTCCTGCGGTGTGTCCTCTGTCGCCGCATTTTCGCGCTCGGCTATCTTCAGTCGTTGAAATGATGACATGGTTAAATCATGGTCATAGAGCGCACGGCCCCCCATTCGTCCGGATTCTGTGTTCCCTCCTGAGGTCGTTTTGGAGGAGGGGATCTTGTACACCTTTTGTCGTCCACCGAACAAGTTGTTGCCCTCAGCTCGACGAGCCCTGCTCATAATGCTTCCCTGCTGGGAAGGATCGTCGTCCGTACCATATCCATTATTGCTATCCGAGGCGAGAGAGTGAGTGCGCCCAAGGTTCATCGACGGCCGACTGCCGTCAATGGAGACCTCGTCAATGTCCGACAGGAGGCTGGGGTTGTGGCCAAAGAGGTTCAATCGCGAAGCACGCCGGGGAAAGAGCACACTGTCGTCGCTGGCTTTTCCGATCATCGATTCCGGATCATCTTGTTCCCTCAACATGCTGAATCGTGCGGATAGTTTGGGCATCAGGAGACTGGTGCGAAAGTCGTCGGTCGAGGGCAATGCATTGGAAAGGTCAAAGTCTTGCTTCTCCTCGGGTTCCTCCTTCTTGGACTTCTTCGATAACATGGAGCTGAGGCTGACCGAGCTGGCTTCGGAGTACTCGACATCTTCCCTCACCTTCTCCTTCTTTGTCTTGCGAAATCGGTTCATGATGGTGCGACGGGGGTTGTAGAGAGCGACAGTCAAGGCG